CCTGGGATTGGAAAACCAGGACTACCAGGTTTACCAGGAAAATTAGGACCTAAAGGACTTCCAGGACTCAATGGCGAGGTTGGGCCTCGTGGAGAGCCAGGTTCACGGGGACTTCAAGGTCAGCCAGGACCACCTGGGCCAGCAGGTCTGTCGTTGAATGGTAAACCAGGTTTACCTGGGACTAGAGGCCTGCCAGGGTCAAGAGGTGAAATGGGGCCTAAAGGTGGACGTGGTAGTCCTGGTGAACCAGGACTTAAAGGGGAAAATGGCAATGGAAAGCCGGGTCCAATAGGTCCCAGGGGACCCACTGGTCTTCAAGGACCTCCAGGAGCTCCAGGTATCCCTGGGTTGGGTAAACCGGGGATTGATGGGCTGCCCGGGCCTGAGGGGCCAAAAGGAGATAAAGGAGCTACAGGAGATCATGGTGTCCCAGGGGAAGCGGGTCCCTCTGGGTTACAAGGGCCACCGGGGGCACCTGGTTTGGGAAAACCTGGACTTGATGGTGTTCCAGGTATTCCAGGCTCGATGGGCCCAAAAGGTGAAACTGGCCCCAGAGGAACTCCTGGCTTTCCTGGACCCCCTGGCTATGGTAAACCAGGGCTTTTAGGACAAAAAGGAGACAGAGGGCCTAGTGGATTACAAGGAGCCCCTGGTGACAAAGGAGAACCTGGGATGGAAGGTCTTCCAGGAGATATAGGGCAAACTGGACAGCCAGGCCTTCCAGGTCCACAAGGTCCTTTGGGTCTTCCAGGGAAACATGGGATGCCTGGTCTAAAGGGAGAACTTGGCCCACAAGGACCTCCAGGCTTGCCGGGGCTTAGAGGCGATCAGGGTCCCAGTGGGCTCTCAGGAAAGCCTGGCTTCCCAGGGGATAAGGGCCCTCCTGGTCTCAACGGGGCCACAGGCAAACCTGGACCTAAAGGTGAACCGGGTCACATCGGCCTGCCGGGTAATCCTGGTTTGATTGGGGGACCAGGTCCAAAAGGTGAGAATGGGTTTCCAGGCCCCCCTGGGCAACGTGGCAATTCAGGGATTCCTGGACTCCCAGGCCCCACTGGTCATATGGGACCTCAGGGTGTTCCAGGGTTGAAAGGTGAACAAGGTCCACCAGGGCCCCAAGGAATTGGAAAACCTGGAGAGAAGGGGATGTCTGGTCCACAGGGACCTCCAGGAAAGCCTGGCTCCCCTGGACTTACCGGTATGCAGGGCCCTCCGGGTCCACCTGGACCTCCTGGCCCCCCCAGCCCCTCTAACGGTGATCAGTTAGCAGTTCAAGGGCCAACTATTTTAGGAGAATCGATTTCAAAGCCAAATGGCGAGAAGCCGCATTATGGTAAGGCCGAGCTCTCTGCCTCCGTGGCTCCTGCTTTTACCGCCATTTTGACAACACCATTCCCACCATCTGGAATGCCAATCAAATTCGACAGGACTCTGTACAACGGGCAAAATGCTTACAACCCTGCCACAGGCATCTTCACAAGCCTACTGCCTGGAGTCTACTATTTTTCTTATCATGTACATGTAAAGGGAACCAGCCTGTGGGTGGCACTGTATAAAAACAATGTGCCAGCTACATACACCTATGATGAATACAAAAAGGGCTATATGGACCAGGCTTCAGGTAGTGCGGTGCTGGAGCTGAAGGAGAATGACCAGGTTTGGGTGCAAATGCCCTCTGACCAAGCAAACGGGCTCTACTCCACTGAGTACATCCATTCGTCCTTCTCAGGGTTCCTCCTGTGCCCCACATAACGGTCCGTCTCAGCGGAGAATTGCTTGCTCGAGGTGCCCTGCAGCAACATCTGTAATAACAGCAAATAGATGACAAGAAAGACTTACTGAACGACGGAAAGGCTGAGTTTCCAAGCAGAGGAGGGAGAATTCATGCTGTCTCTGTTTTAACCCTCTCTTTCAAATGTCTGATTTGATCATTGTTTTACTTTCAAGTGTTGTTATTTCCTGCCTATATGATAATTTTATTATAACTGTTATGCTATTTTTGTTGATGTTGATGATATAATGGTGTTATTTTATTGATGTTGTAGTTGATGTTGTGTATCGCAATCAGACTATTAAGTACTTTGCAATGTGTAGGTAACCATTTAAAGACTTACCCGTGTGACTGCACACATTGCCAAATGTTCTGACTCCCATTGATCTCCATCACGTTGACTCTGGGGTTGTATGTTCCCCTAGTTGCAGTCAAATTCACTTATATCTTTTCCTTAATATAACACAGGCTACTTGATTTGTGCCACATTGCAGATTTTCGAATGCAGACATTCTATACAACATTGTTATTGTATTTGTATGTTTAAATACATTCGTAATTTAAAGAATAATCCTCAGTTCCATATTGTTTGTTTTTTTTTCTTTTAAATGCCAGACAGGTAATTATCTATCTGCTTTAGTCATTAGGTATATACAGTATGTTTTGTTTGATTTACTGTTAAAGCAAAAAATATGTGCTAATATCTCTGTTTCTGCGACAACTATGTTGTGTTTGAGAGTCTTTGAGAAGAAAATTACTTGATTTACTGAGTTCATTGCTCAAAACATGCCACGTTTGAATCAGTAGCGGTCATGAAGGCCTCAAGAGGACAGCTGAATGACAGTGCCTGCATTACAAGAAAACAAAACCAAAACAAATGGAATTTCTGTGACACTAATTTCATACTTTAAGAATCATGACATGTCAAAGCTAATACATAATGTATAGCTTCTCATCAAAATCTTAGGATAGCCTACATTGGTGAGTAAGGGACTACTAATAGATTGAGAGTCTGAAAATATAATTCTGACTTTTTTTGTTGTTGTTGTAATAAATCAATTCTCCACCACAAATCCAAACTACTGCGTTGTGTACTCTAAAGGTTTTACATTCTGTGACTCTTTTTCTCATTGCTGCTTTTACAATGACACATTTGACTGATTGTTTTGCATCACATTCATTTTCCCATTGGACTGATTGACTTGTAATGTCGCAATCATGACTGACTCTAACATGAGTTAATGCATGCCCTAAGATGATACATTTATAAAGTTGCATGATTTGGATACATCACACTGTGATAGCACTGCTCCTGTGGTGTTTATGAAATGTTACAAACAAAGAAATTGTTTCTTGCACATTTACTGAAGTGACCCTCTTGAAAGAAAAATTCTCTGGCTTCTGTTTGTTTGACCAATATGTAGGATGATGAAACCTGAAACAGACTAAAGGAGTGTCTGTCTACTTAAACACACCCAGTCACTGAACTTGTCCTTTCCATACACGGTTACATGACATTTGTTTCTTCAAATGGAAATGATTCACTTTGGAATGATATTTTGGCACCAGATCTTTCCTATTTCAGCATGTATTTGATGACCTTTTTATTGTACAGTATATTAACACTGTGACCATTATTTTCTATGATGAGTGTATATTGTTTGTGTGCAATGGATTGAAGATTTAAAACCTTTGTTGTGCTGCAATATCTCCAATCTGCTTAGACTATGTGGCTTACTTTTGTCGTTCAAAGCAAACTAGGAAAAAAGCCTTGATTCTGTTCCACGGGATATTTGTTCATTATCAATCAAATTAAAAGAAACAACCAATCCCATTTGCACATGAACTTAATGAAGGCATATTTATACATTTGTGATAGATGTCCAAGCACCGAAACCGTGAACGTACAAATAACCTTATATTGAACAGCATCGAGGAGTTTGTAATACACACTACCATTGTTTTTCTTTCTTTTATAATGTATCTATCAATCTATAGGATTTTTTGTCTAATTGCATTCACTTTATGCAATCCATTTTGGGTATTAAATGCACTCTTTGATTGAACATATTTTGTCAGCTCTTACAAAATCTACAAGTACTTGACAGTACAGATGCAACATCAATAAAGACTTTCTTGATCAAGGGTGTTTTTTTTTTCTTTTTCTCCCTAATAAGACCAACAGATCTTAGTAAGATGGGATGTTGACAAGTCCAATTCGGATATTTTATCTCATAAGTTCAGTTCATATACTATGCAATTTAATCAGAACATTCGGTATGTTCAAAAACATCCTTGAAGCTGTACTGCTTCAGACATCATCTAAAGAAAATATATGACCAACACTAGGGGGAGTTTACTTCCATTCCAGTGTCGCTTACAAGGATCACCTGTGGTAAATGGTGGCTCAAAATATCACACGTAAATAAGCAAGCATACATCCATCATGGTCTACATTTTTCTAGTATTCAAATCAGTTCCAAAACTATTTTAATAATAATAATAATAATAATATATATATAAGTAATAGGCCAATTTAATTTTCCACAAAGTAGCCTATTGGAATAAAGTGTTCTCAAATATTATCATGGCTTAATTAAACAATGTTTAATGTTCCACAAAGTACTGGAATAAAGTGTTTGTATAGGCCTACATATTCTTGGATTAAATAGACAATATAGCCTATAATTTTCCATAATGTAGGCTATTGGAAATTGGAATATGGTCCTCAAATAACTCGTTTATGCGTTTAAAAAATAACGTTTTTCTTAATAGAAAATCGTCAATATACGTCTCTAGTTCTTTATTGAAAGACAAAACAGTTTAATAAAATAAAATACAGGAAACTTACATTTGGGGACATTTAATATATATATATAATATATGTATTATTAAACTGACTGCGCATGGTTTGTCTGTACATTTCTCCAAGCGTACAAACAATAATTATTCCAAAACGACACATATTGACCATCAATATTCTCTAATAGCCTATATTCATAAACATTTATCCAAAACGGTCATATGAATGGGCAGTACCAAAACAAATCAACCAGGGCAACGGTCACAAACAGTGCAATTAAAATCAATATCACCTTTACATTTTACAAAGTAAAGCAATGTTTCGATGGGTAAACGAAATCCTCAAGTCCTCTTAAAACGTCAACAGGCTAGCTCTTGCGCAAAGATGACGCAGTCACTGACTCCACCCCCTTCAGTTCATCTCAATTCAGTTTCACTGAGGACGACATACACGACTTCACCCTCAAAGCGGTTACGGCTCAACGTGCACTTTCTCCGGGGATTGCCAAGGGATTTCAATGTTTGGCCCGTTCTTTGTAAGTATCCCCTATTATCTTTGGCTTACTGACTCCTAATATGGCAGAAAGATGTTAAAAACGACTACCCGAGACGTTTTTTGCCTGTTTCTAGTGCAGCTGTGAAAGCTCGCGTTCAGCCGGTGAAGGAGCTCGCGAGTGTGGCAGCCATTTGCCCGCGTACGTTTGAACGGAAACTCCATAATCGTCTTTTATTTGGTTTACGGTTGGACAGTTTTAACCGGCTCAAGGACGGTTTGTCGCTCATTCCTATATATGTTGATTTATGAAAGGTCTGAAGTTCTCCCCGGGCTGTCTAGCTGTCCTGTATACTGCGCTGGCTAGCCGCTTGCTAGCGGTCTCATCATCAGCCAGAGACCATGTCAAGAAGTTTCTCGGACAGTTTATTTGCCGCTACACTTTTAACTCTGTGTTTAGACATTTGGTTAATTCCGGGTCTGAACATATTATTTAAGTATTACTTACTAATTTTTCACTATTTGATCGGCAGTGAGGGTCAGAGAGGGTGCGATTGAATTGTTAGCCTGGAAGCTAACGTTAATGTTATTAACTGTCAGTTCAGTCTGATAACACTTTATCGTCAAACCCCAGAATGTTCGTGATTTCAGTGGCTCAATTGTTACCCAGAGCGTGGAAGATTAGTTAATTAATTTTAGATTTCCTTTTTTACAGTAAGTTACCACAAACCTTGTGTGTGTGTGTTGGTTTCCGTCACATTAATGTTTGCTTTATTTTAGCTGCGAGTCTGACATATGGTAAATCTTTAAAGCCGACCCTTGTCTTTGATCATTCCTGTATCCAGTACCTGGTTAAACTGTAAGCTGACGATCCAGCATGAGACCTGAACTGCGCAGTAAACTAACTGTTAGCTGCTAAACCGAAAGTTTTTAAATGCCATGCTTTTAGAAGCAGAACAGGTAAGATGACGAATGGGGAAACTGACTTAAGCTGGTATGCTTGATATGTTCCAAGTTGTATTTAGGTGTCATGTGTAACGTTAGTATTTGATGAGTCACCTGCCTTTGTGCTCCACCTGTTCTCATCCTACTCATGTGTAATCAATACAAGGAAACTGTACAGGTCGTGGTGGGCTAAGTGGTTTATGCATTGCCTTTGGGACTGGACATCGGAATCGGAAGTTGTAAAATTGCCAAGTGGGAACAAGTCAGGACATGTTTTAGAGCTTAAGGTATGGGTATAAGCTGAGAAATTTTAAGAACATGACAAGGTGTTTGTTTACATTACTTGTTTGAAATCTTGAAACTGTGACAAGGTTGCTTTTTATCGCTTTGACCTTGCCTTATCTACATATTTATTGGACAGGTAACTTATAGGCCTCTGAATGACATTGACATTTATTTCACAATTTAATAAACCTTATTATACTTAAATGGGCATTTAATTGGTAGTTTGACAGAATTTTTGTTTACTACATTGGGACGGCTTTAATTAAATGTGAGCACAATAACTTCAGTAAACTTTAAATATCTTTCCACTTTAATATTTTTTTATTGAAATATCATTACATAAAAAAAAAACTTGCAGATGTATTTCTGTAACTAGGCTATCACATTATCAGTTAGGCAGTGTTTAACTTAAGTTTCATGAACCTGGAGGGAGTACACAACACTTTGAGAAGTAATAATAAGTTTCTGCTTTGCTATATCTGTTACATTTGCAGGTGTTGATTCAGTTTCAGAAACGTTTCATGTCTAGACTTGAGGCCATCTATAGATTTGCCTTTACTTTTTTTTTTTCTAAAACAAGTTGGAAAGTGAGTAAAAAATTTTCCTTAATGGAGATGTTTGTTCATTCCCCAAGTAAATTGACCTGTGTGAATTTCTACATTCTAATTTCTTATAAGGTGCTGCTAAATAAGTGCTTTTATGCACTCATATCCGTGTTTAGTCTGGATATTGATATTGATACTGATATTGGCATCACTGTGCTTTGTACATCCACACATCTCTGTCCCATATTATACTTAATTGAATGTATTATCATGACTTGTTGCTGTACAAGAGTAGAGTTAATGCTGCTCACGGAATAGACATAATCAGCATTTTGCTGCTTTGTGCTAGTTTTGACAAGTCTGCTGAAAAATTTCTTATTGTAACCAAGATTAAGACTATCGTATAAAGGCCTGATAACCTTTCAAAACTCTAAAGTACAAACATGTCTTTTTTGAGGCCTGTTCGGAGCATATTTATGGCTTGTTTGGCATTTTGGGCTGTCAGTAGCCACTCTTACTGGGCAGCATGTTAAATGTCATTGGTAGCAGTAGTTCACAGCTTGTTAACAAACATGGATCGAGTTGTGCCTCACAGCAGGCTTTCTTAAAACATCTACACAACTGGCAACAGCATGACTCCCATTCCTCCCACTGTCTTTTCAGCTTGTCTGCTTAAATATTGAAGGACTGTTGTACCCTTTGAGCCAGCATTGCAAGCCCAGCAGGAGCTAACCCTTGATGAATAAGTGTGGTGCTCACCACAGTCTCATCCTGACCTGCAAGACATCTGCTCCCTCTGCAAGGCTTCGATGCAAACTGCATGATGTGGCCTTTGAAAAGGCAGTCAATCTTCAAGATTTCTGTGTTGAATAACATGAACTGTCTGTCTATTGTTTGAGTCATTCTATTAGGTTTACAGTCACAGTGCTGTAAACTTCAACTTGATAGGAAGTGGGCAGGTTTGTGGCAGCATTTACAAGACCCACCCCCTTAGCGGAGTTTCCACTGACTACTTGTCTTCCCTTAGTGCTTCTTCAACACAATTTGTGGTGGCTGGTGTTGACACTTTTTTTTTATAGTCACATCAGTTTCATCAGTCAAATACAAGCTGAAAAAAGAGTTGACATTGACAGTTGGCGTGTTTTAAATACTGTTAAACCGAAACGCAGTATGTGGCGGCGAATTAGTCTATGTGTGGGAAACACTGCATAAGTCACGTGCGAACTGCTCGGCTCGGCACTGACTGCTTATAGAGTCGAGTTTCTTTACTTTTAGCCGACGAAAGCAGAGCCATGGAGAGCCGCTTCTGTCGCCCAGATTTGCTTCCCCTGGTCTGCATTTTCACCAGACATGCGTTAATCTCCCACACAAAAACAGAATTTCAAACCAAATATGAAAAATTCTACGAAATTCCGTGTTAACAATAGATTCCGCGTTAATTGGCCGATTCCGCGGAAATCATAGGGCCCTTCACATGCCCTTGTTTGAGCTTGAAGATGCAAAACTCGATGCCGGTCCTCTAGTCCAAGAACTGCTCCTTTCCTTTCCCTGCACTTCGGCCTCTACTTCCTCGGACCTAGTTGCACTACCTCCTCTGCTTCGCCCTCGACCCCGGATCTGTCCTCGACCTGACAATGCGGTAACTGGACATCATGACTTTTGCGTAAACATACTTGCCACTTTCAAGTCAAGTGGCGTGTTATCTATATGCATTTTGAGCTGTTATTCAAACAGACTCTAGTAGTCAAGTCAAATATATTTATATAGCGCTTTTCACAATACAGATTGTATCAAAGCTGCTTCACAGTATCAATCAAGACAACATAACAGTGTTTATTCATGAAAAGACAATCAAGTTTGGTAGAGATGATCAATGGTATGATGGGTCATTTAATATATCCCCAACTGAGCAAGCCAAAGGCAACAGTGGCAAGGAACCGAAAAACTCCATCAAGTGACCCGATGGTGTCCTAAAACTCCATCAGATCACCCAATGGAGGAAAAAAAAAACCTTGGGAGAACCCAGGCTCAGTCGGGGGCCAGTTCTCCTCTGGCGTTTATGAACTAGAGGCCAAATAAAAAAAATGTATATGAATGCCAGGCTAAATAAATGCGTCTTTAGTCTAGTTTTAAACTGAGAGAGCGAGTCTGAGCAACGAACAATATCAGGAAGGCTATTCCAGAGCTTCGGAGCTAAATGTGAAAATGCTCTCCCTCCTTTGGTGGATCTGGAAATCCTAGGAATGACCAGAAGCCTCGAATTTAGTGATCTTAAAGAGCGCGATGGATTGTAGGGCGATAGAAGATCTGTTAAATAGACTGGGGCTAAACCATTTAGAGCTTTATAAGTCAAAAGTAATACCTTGTAATTAATACAGAACTTTATAGGTAACCAATGAAGTGATGATAGAATCAGTGTTATGATCATATTTTCTTGATCTAGTAAAAACTCTAGCGGCTGCATTTTGGACTAACTGTAGCTTGTTTATTGAGGATGCAGGACAACCGGCTAATAAAGCATTACAGTAATCTAGTCTCGAGGTCATGAATGCATGAACAAACTTTTCTGCATCAGAGAAAAATAGCATAATACGTAGCTTAGCAATGTTTCTAAGGTGGAAAAAGGCTGTTCTTGTAACATATGAAATATACTTTTCAAAAGACAGGTTGCAGTCTAATATAACACCCAGGTCTTTTACTGTCGGATAAAGTAACAGGGCATCCTAATATGTTAAAGTCGTGCTGCGAAAGGTTTTGTGGACGGTTTTTAGAACCGATAAGTATTACGTCCGTCTTGTCTGGATTTAATAAAAGAAAATTACGCGTCATCCAGTCTTTTATATCTTCAATCTGTCAATTTGGATAATTTAGCGTATTCATCTGGCCATGATGAAATAGCTGTGTGCGCTTACTGCGCAGCAGTCGTGTAAATGGTTTGTCAGAGGTCCTAACTTAATAAAATAAGCTTTGCTACTAATATGAGGAATGATTACCTTTGAATGTTGAATTGTAGGCAGGTGTGAGATACTAGCGTACCTTATTGAATTCATTCCCTTTTAAAATGGCATCCTTTTTGAGGAATATTGTGATTATGGCAAAGCACAGCACAAGAATGATGATGGCTTTGCTCTGGCTGTACCTCTTTGCCTTGTCTGTTGAGTGAGATTACTGCTGTGCTGAGCCCCTGGGTTTGGCAGCAGATATCTCCCCTTCTTTGCAGTGCTGTGGTGTCTTTCTCACACAAACCGCCCATTTCGTGTCTTAGGTC